GGACGCTTACCGGTGGTCGTTCCCCTGCACAGCCTGGATGAGAAAACTCTTGTGCGGATACTTACAGAGCCCCGGAATGCAGTCATTCCCCAGTACCAGGCGTTATTCAGCATGGACAAGGTTTGCCTCTTAGGGTATTTTCTTATGATAGCATATTATTTCTTGTAGATCAAGCTTGGGTTTGCTCAAAGAGTGGATTGATCTTAAGTGAGGTTGAAGGGACTACCTTTTAAAATAAAGGTATAATATAATAATATATGATTTAGGTTTATCTTTAATAGCAATAGCAATAGCCCTTAGACTTATATACTGCTTCACAATGCTTTACAACCCTCTCTAAGTGGTTTAGAGTCAGCATCTTGCCTCAACAATCTGGGTCCTCATTTTATAGTTTTAGGAAGGATGGAAGGCTGAGTCCACCTTGAGCTGGCGAGAATCGAACTCCTGGCAGTGGGCAGAGTTAGTCTGCAATACTGCACTCTAATCATTGCGCCTCTTTGGCTATATTATAAGTCTACTATTGCTATTTTCTGTTGTTTTTTACTACCCCAGGACAGATGAATATCCCTTTTTCAGGGCGGCCGGTCAGCATCCGCTTCTTTTGACTTCTTATGAACGTGTTTGTGTGTCATTTTAGGCAGTCCTTGACCTACAATGCTTTGTTTAGTGACTTTTTTCAAAGTCTGATGAGCAAAGTCAGTGGGGAAGCCAGATTCACTTAACAGCCATATAACTACAGTGATTCACTTAACAGCAGTGACTTAACAGGTCATAAAATGGGACAAAACTCATTTAACAACTCTCGCTTAGCAACAGAAATTTTGGGCTCAATTGTGGTCATAAGCTTGAGGATTACCTGTAGTGACTGTATCTGTTTTGCCTTTATGTCTATTACACTTCTATTAAACCAGAAGCATAAAAGAAATCAGGTATTAGTAAATGTAGCATTCTTAAAATGTCCATAATCTTATGTCTTACAGTGTGAATTAAACGTCACAGAGGATGCTTTAAAAGCAATAGCCAGATTGGCTCTGGACCGCAAGACGGGAGCTAGAGGCCTTAGATCTATCATGGTAAGAGCTTTTGCCCGATTGCTGCTTAATTACCGGGTGTGCAGGCATTAATCCTCCATATAATAATTTTATGTGGGCGACTGCAGGATGTTTTACACTCTCTCCCCTGTTCTCTATGTCTGTGTCAGTGGTGGGTTGCAGGCGGTCCGCCCCAGTACGAGCGTACCGGAGCCTGCCCGGAGCATTGGGTACCGTTCCGGTATGGTGCTCCGGAGGGCCGGTCCACCCGCCTGAGCTCCTTATCTGTCCTTTAAGCCTTTGGCGCTTCTGCACAGACACATGGTGTGTACAGCGCCTGCGCAATGCTCCACCGAGCAGCTGGAGCATTGCGGAGGCTTGCAGAGTTGTCGCGGGTAGGTATGACGCATCCGCGCACCATGTGGGCGCTGCCGGGCTCGTTCCAACCGTACCAGTTGGAACGGGATCTGGAACCCATCACTGGTCTGTGTATAAAATCGTTGGAAGTAGTTGGTGAGTCAAGAACGGGACCACACACACAAAAAAAACCATCCTCCTTGATAGGAGACAATTCCATGGTAATTGATTTTCTAATTTCTTCCCTGTGAACTGAAAAATATATGTAATATGAAGAGGGTCCATATTTAGCTATCATCTTAAGATAAAAATCTGGTTTAAGGAAAAATACATTGATGCTTGCATGACTTCAGTAAGCAGGAGGCTTGTAAGGCAAGTGCTTCTTTTGTGCATTCATCCTCTCCATTTGTGGAAGGAGTGTATGCCATGAACCCAATAAAGTTTGTCTTTCAGTCTGTGCCTTTTGTCCTCATTTCCAAAACTTTTCTCCTTCTAAGAGCTGTCTCACTTTGCCTTGTGGGTAACAGCACTGCTTTTGGGATTAGAAGGCAGGAGTCAGGGTTCCAAGTAACACCCCCAACAAAAGAAGACTCCGAGGCTTGAGCTTCCTCAAAGTTCCACTTTATTAGAGATGTCATATTGGCATATCTGGGAAAACCCGAATCTGAATGAAAGTCCCTGCCCAGCATCCACATGTCCATCATATGGCCCAATCAGCCACAGTCACAAAGGAACATCTCTCCCATCCATGTCAGTCCAGGTGCAGGGACAAAACGACCTTGGCTCTCTGAGAAAGGAATATTATTTAAACACACACAGACATTATATATATATGTGTGTGTGTGTGTGTGTGTGTGTGTGTGTGTATATATATATGTGTATATATGTGTATATATATATATATGTGTGTATATATATGTGTGTGTATATATATGTGCGTATATATATGTATATATATATGTATGTGTATGTATGTATGTATGTATGTATGTATGTATGTATGTCTCTAAGTTATTCGGGTTTTCTCCCGCATAAAATTGGAGATGTCTTGGCGATGTTTCAACGAAGTCTCATTCATCATCTTCAGGTTTGGTGCTTCCAGGATTCCACCATTGCTCCTGGAAGCACCAAGCCTGAAGATGACGAATGAGACTTCGTTGAAACGTCGCCAAGACATCTCCAATTTTACGCGGGAGAAAACCCGAATAACTAGAGACCTACATACCAACACCCGCGAAAACCTCAGAAAACAAACAAATACATACATACATACATACATACATACATACATACATACATACATACATACATATCCCATACTCCATATAAACCCCCTCCCAGTTTCCCACAGCATTAAATGTGATAGGCCTGAAGGCCCAATGCAAAAGATGGCTTCCAGGCCTAACAGCAGGATTGGGAGGAAATGGTTTCATTCATAATCATGAAATCAGGGAATAGCATTTGGGTATGTCTCCTTGGCAAGTGCACAGCACAGTTTGAGTGACAAACTTTGGCACTTTCATTCAGATCCAGAAATGGGCCAAACAACTGCCTATTGTTAGATTGTTGTTAAAACAGAAATTGTGTACTGTGATTTAGAGGGGAGGAGAAAAATACCTGAACTGTTCTCTTCATCCCCGCAACTTTAGGAAAAGTTACTGCTGGAACCAATGTTTGAAGTACCCAACTCTGACATAGTATGTGTGGAAGTGGACAAAGAAGTTGTGGAAGGAAAAAAAGAACCAGGATACGTCAGGTAAAATTGATTAGAGTTAGATTGGGTTGGCTCCTGACTTTTTCTTTCTCAAGAGCCTTTCAGACAATTTTCTAGGTAAGCGGTTATTCTGCAATTAAGTCTGTCGTTGCTAAGGGCAATTTCAATGAACTATGGAGATTGTTGTTAAACGTTCAGTTCAGTATGAATCACAAATCAGCTTTCTTTCTTTCTGTTTCCTGACAAGATCTCCACTTTGATTATTTCAGACATTTGACATTGCTCCCATTTCAATTATAGGACTCCAACGAAAGATTCCTCGGAGGAAGAATATGACTCGGGAGTAGAAGAAGAAAGTTGGGCCCGCCAAGCAGATGCCGCAAACCATTAAACAGTCAGAATGTTCCTCAGCAAAAGCACCCGGTGTGTCTGTCTTTGTTTGAGACCATACATGGCCCTGCAGGCTGTTGCTAACATTGGATTCCTCCTGACTATAGGACCCATGGTTGAAAACTTTGGCCTCTCTCTAATGGGAAACCAGATCATGAGTTTCTGTAACATCACATTGGGTCTGTTCAGTGGACACGTGGACTAAAAATGATATAATGTTGAGAAAGTGAACTGTATATTAAGTTTTGTTCAATTAAAAAAAACCCCACAAAAATGTGCTTTTTAAACTGGCTGAAGAGGGATGGTAACGCAAACACATTTTCCCCTTTACCCCCACTCCTCCCTAAGTGCTCCCTAACTCCACTCCCAATTAGAACCCTGTTGAGCTCAGGACCTTCACATATACACGAAATATCTTAGGAAGCCTGCAGTCTTTCCTAAAACTAAGAATAATCCAGCAATTCCCCTCTGAGGTTAAACAACACGTTCGCAAACAACTATAGTTGCTACAAACAAAAAAACACTGATCTTGTGGTTTGTCACCATCATAAAAAAAAAAAAAGATTTGAATGGTCATTGGGCAAAGGCAAATTTCCCAAGTCCTGCTTTATTTTGCTCAGTCTTAAGTTAAAATGCAGTGCTGATACCAGCAATATTTAGATATTATTTGCAATGAAACTGGAAAATGGGCAAGTTATTTTATATATGAATACACGATTTTGGTTATCTTGGTTTGAGGATCATTCAGTATGGGTTAATAGCTCTCCTTTAAATGCAGTGGGAGCTGGAGTTTCTTGTTATGTTTATTTTGGAGACCACCATTAAAAATGGGATATTGAAGCTTAAAAGGCTGTATTTTCACCCACAAATTTATTGTCATGCATCCAGGTTGCTCTAAACAGACTGTACAAAGGCCATATTTTAGATTATTGCAGTCTGTTTCCCTAAAAACATAATGCAATGCATTAAATAATTATGTGTAATACCAAAGGTTTTTAATATTTAAAAATATATGTCACTTAGGGGAAAAATAGATGTGTTATAAGAACAGGTGAATTAAAGGAGGGGCTGCACCCTTTATGAGGAGAATAATGATTTAGAAACAGTCCAATACAACATTGAAAATGTTACGCCAATTTTTTTTAATATTGTAGATTAATTGAACCTACTGAAACCATCAAGCATCAGTTTTTTGGTGCCAGATATTTTCCCCAGATTACCTTATACCACAAAAGGACACCAGAACATAACAAAATTGTATATTTTTCAATATTATCAGTAGGCACTGTTTGCACAAAATTCTTATTTAAATTATAAGCTCAAATGCTGATACGGCATCCTGTTACTTTTAAATCTCTTTTGTTTTTCAGTTAACTCGATCCTTCAGTATCTGTAAAAACACGGAAAAAGGATCGCTAATGTTCTTGATTCATTTCTGAAAATTAAAGTCTCTACCTGCAAATTTGATGTCTTTCCTCTCTGTGTGAGATGTAAATCTGTTACCAAATTATAACCTCTGCTTAAGCATATAATTATTTCAACCAGTTGGTTAAAACAGATGGGAATCTCCATCACAACCGGTAATGACTGATGGTGGATGAGGGATACCTCAACTTCAAATTCCTCAACCCATGTGTGGATATCAGTCATCGGGTGGGTATGAGTTTAGAAGAATTGATTTTCGGTGCTCTGCAGATTCGTTGTGCACAGCTCCTCACTTTTTAGTGTGACAGTATAAATCAATCAGAATAGAACTGGAAATGCCCTTGGAGGTCTTTTTAGTCCAAGTCCCTGCTCAAGCAGGAGACCCTATACTATTTCAGATGGGTGCCTGTCCAGTCTTGTCTTAAAAACCTCCAGTGATGAAGTCCCTTCAACTTCTGAAGGCAAGCTGTTCCACTGGTTAACTGTTTCACTGTCAGGAAGTTTCTCCTTAATTCCAAATTGCTTTTCCCCTTGATTAGTTTCCATCCATTGTTTCTTGTCTTGCCTTCTGGTGCTTTGGAAAATAAGTTGACCCCCGTCTTCTTTGTGGCAGCCCCTGAAATACTTCAATGCTGCTACCATATCACCATAGTCCTTCTTTTCTCTAGACTGGCCATACCCAATTCCTGCAACCATTCTTCATATGTTTTTGTCTCCAGGCCTTTTCATTAAAAAGACAAAATACTGCTGGTTCGCAGCCTGCCAGCTTCCTAAGTCTATTACTTTTCCATAGATTTCTGACCACTTCTGTCTGATCCGATGCACTATTATGTTACAAAGGCAATTTGTAAAAGATCAGTGTCTGTTTTTTTAGATGTCCTGTAGGCTTCCAATAGGGGAATATGTCTTTAGATTTCAGATAACACAGTGCAGGAATGCCCATTGGTGCTGCCATTGTGCAGGATGATAATTATTCGAAAGATACTGTACTTGGAAAATTGAAGATACAGTATAGCAGACTGGCAGATGCTTGCAGTGGTGCTTTACCTTGTCTGCTTTTTAAAGTGGGAGAATCCCACTGTCCTGAAAGTCTGTTTCCTGGAGCAGGCATTTATTTGAATGTTCATTGTATATACATAGTTGTTATGATAGATCCAGTAATTCCAGCATTCCTTCTGGCCACGACCGAAATTTGCACTAAATCCAATCATGCCTGTTTCAAAGAAAGGCAGCAGAGGTTTTAACAAGTGCAATCAATTCCTGCAAAAAGAAAAGTTATCATATACCCTGTTCTGTAAATTCTGCATCCCAGTCCTTCACCTCTCCAAAGACTGCAACTTTGCAAAAGCCCAACAGAGACTTCTTTCCTTAGAGCCCTGCAAAAAAAAATCAAGTGGAACAATGGCTGATGACCTCTTTCTATCGGTCCACAATAGAAAGTGTCCTCAGATACTGTGTTATAGTATGGTATGCTGGTTTAACAGCTGTGGACAGGAAGGCACTACAGAGAATGATCATTTCAGCACAAGAAACCATTGGTTGCCTTCTAACAGCACTGGATGACATAGCCAGGTCTCGCTGCTTTAGCAGAGTAAGGAAGATACTCAGAGATGATTCACACCCTAGTCAGTGTCTCTTCGCACTTCTCCCATCAGGCAGAAGACATCCAAGTATAGCCAGCCGAACCAACAGGTTTAAAGGTAGTTTCTATCCTTAGGCTGTCACTCTTAAACACAACCACAATCATTCCACGCACAGGCAGAAATGTACTTTTTTTTCTTTTCCTAATTCCTTGCATAGGGATTATTCTTTATACTATATGTTGTTTGTATTTTTTGTCATGGATTGCACCAGTGAGGATAAAACCAATTTCACTGTACATCATATGCACAATGACAAAGACTATACTATACTAACTTGGGAAGGCTTATGTAGGGTTCAGCTCTATCAAGTTTCAAGTTTAATTTTATTTATAGGCCGCCCAATCCCGGAGGAATCAAAAGCTGGGGCCCCTTGCCCCCCCCCCCTTGCTAAGGGTGCCAGCAGCAAAGAAATAATTCCACTATCTATCACCAATCACCCTCTTCTTTTCCCCATCTTAAATATTCTGCCTGAGGAATCAATGGGAAAATGATGAGCCAGCTTTTCAAAAATCACCCAGATCCCAACTCAGTCATTTGAACCCAGGCAGATCATAACCCAAGAGGTTTATATCTCCTTGTGGCCAGATCCTCAACTTACAACAGTTCATTTGGTGACTGTTCAAAGTTTTAAAAAGTGATTTATGACTGTTTTTCAAGTTACCACCTTTGTAGCATCCCCATGGCCAAGTGATCCAAATTCAGATGCTTGGCAGGTGATAAGAGCCAAGGTGGTGCAGTGGTTAGGGGTGCAGCACTGCAGGCCACTTCCGCTGACTGTTATCTGCAGTTCAGCATTTCTAATCTCACCGGCTCAAGGTTGACTCAGCCTTCCATCCTTCCGAGGTGGGT